GTAAGCAAGTAGTAGTGTCGGTACTTCCAGTTTGATATCGCTACCTTTGAATTTCCCTATCTCGTCGCCATTGTCTCAGTCTTGGCATCCACCCACCCAGCCAATCATCATCGCATTTGCAACGGTGTCATCATCACCACCCTGCCCTCTCCCGGCAGCTGATGTGTGGCTGTCAGAAAGCCTGACACCGCTGCGCTTCATTCAACCACATTGTAGGAACGCAAGTAACACGCCACTTTACATTCTCAGTAATGGTAACGGCGTTGCAACGATGGGAAAAGTACTTAATTAGATTACCCCGTTACTGAAAAAATAACACCGTTAGTAACGCCGTTATACTTAAACGCCGTTACTCCCAACACTGGTCAGGATACTGGTTGATTGATCATATTGGGATCTGAGACTGCTTATTTTCTGTGACCTTGTTCAGACTCGAGTGGGTATGTTTGATGAAAACTTTGTATTTTGTCTCATAGTGGCGTTTCACACTGGCACTTTTAATCAGCGCATACTGGTTATGTGCTCCCAGTGGGAAGAATGAATATGAATGAATCTGTCCATTAAAAGCTCGATTTTCTATCCACTTTTCTCTTCTTAGAGAGTGCCATTATTTTTCTGTTGTCTCGCGCTCACTCATCTCTCCGTTTCCTCTCCTTGTATCTCTGACTTTTCTTTCCGTCTGTCTCTCCTCTCTCATCGCTCTCATCTCTGTATTCAGTCGCGCTGTTTAAACAGATTTGATTGGCTGAGCAGCATCACGTGGGATGGCTTAACTAGCATGCGATTGGTCTGTGAGCTTCCTGATCTGCTAAACAAATACCGTAAAGACTAAAAAAGCTGTGCTGGTTAAAATAGAAGCTCCCCATCAAAATTAATAATCCTCAATAATTAATTGATTATAGGTCTGGGTCCGCATAGGACGGTGTCTGGGTCCAGACTCGCCTGTTAGCGACCTCTGCCCTAGAAAGTTCATGAAGATCTTCCAGGCACTCTACTTCAGACCAAAGCAATGGATCAGGCTAGATTTGCGTTGGCCCCACCCTCTGAGTTTGATGGCTGGCTTTGACAGTTTTAAGTAATTCATGAAGCACTACAACGCAGGACCATGAAATGTAAATGTAAATAGTGAAATAATTATATATGTATTTTACATAAAATGAATCGGTATTTGAATTAATTAATGACACATTTAAGTAATTATTTAATGGTGTATTTATTTATTTAATTGTGGCACTTTCAGTCCTCCATAGCAGTAGAATCCATGAGTAAAATAAACGCAACCACCATGAATCTCTTTTCCTCTGTCCATTTTGTCCAACAGTCGTTACAGTAGTGCTCTGAGTACATATTCCAAAAGTTATTTTAAGCCATTTCTCTTGAATTAAGGCAATGTAAATATGGATTTTACAGTAACCAGGTTACAATGGAGGCCTATGTAAATAAATCTGATATTCTGCATCACCTGATATCTCCAAGTAACATGGGGTTTTTATATGCATTACAACACCACAATATGGTCACTAAATCATTTATAACAGTAATTAGAAGCCCTTTCAATTAAAAATACATACTTTAACAGAGATGTTTAAAAGTTGTGCTATTTACGTGGCGTGGAATTTCAACGCCTGTCCATGAAAGAAGGATTTGTCATAACTTCTGCGTACATGATCCGATTTCAATGAAACTTCATGTTTGATAAAAGTCCCACCCTGATAGCGCCTCCTAGTGATGAAAGGAAATGTCATTTTTATACTTTTATGTATATCTTCCAGCGGATTGACAGATGAAAATCAGCTTTTGTGTTAACATTTGAACACTTTTTGGGGTGCGAAACATGGCCGAAAACTCATGAAACTTCAGAATTCAGTTCTGGCGAAGGCTAACGTACTGTCTTGGTCCTGCAGATAGGCGTCGCAAAATGGCTTGGCCACGCCCCCCAGAATCAGCCCCCAAGACACGTATGACCGACATGTATGAAAACTGGTACCCATGTGTATCATGATAGGACAAGCAAAAAAGCCTCTTGGACCCATAACCCAAACACAACAGGAAGTCGGTCATTTTGAATTTCGTGGTCATTTTCTGCATTTTTTTCACGCTGTATTTGAACAAACTCCTCTGAGGGAATTTATCGGATCAACTTCAAAATTGGTCAGTACAGTTAAAAAAAATTGCTGATTAAAGTTGGGCTATTTGTGCATGTACGATGAAGGGCGTGTCCGTGGCGTGGCATAGAAGTCAGCCAGGTTGAATCGAATGTTAAACTGCGATGCCATTTCTGGCATTTCAGGGCTTCTATTTTAACCAACTCCTCCTACAGATTTTTTCGGATTGACTTCAGATTCGATCAATGCAATCTAGACACATTGGTGAAGTTTTGCAGTGAAGAGTCTTACTATGAACGCAGAAGTCTTCTTGCATAGTGTCTGAAACGCGGGACGTATGTCTCTCTACGAATGTAGAGCTGTCTCCCTCAGCGTCCGGTTGATGAGGGTTTGGGCGTGGGGCGAAGTGGTGTGGCATGGCTGCAGCAGGCAACAGCCGTACAGGCCCTGACGTGGGGAGATGGCGAGGTCCTGCCCAACGCTGCTTGCAGCTTTAATTACATTTATGTTTTGTTTTAGACTAGGAATTAAGATAACGTCTCTCCCAACGAGGTGATGCAGAAAGTAAGGGGCATTGTTGACTGTGGTTGATATGACATACACAAGTAATTTATAAAATTGTATATTTACCTTGTCTTCAATACTGTCAGCAAAAAAGATTCATAGAATAGGACCTCCTCTCATTAGAAATTCTTTAGGATCTGATTCTGTGTGTTATCCTGGTGCTGAGTGCAGATCCTTTAGCGCTCTTTTAGTGCTTTCCATGAAAGTCCTCTTGTTTTGTGAATTAAACGTATCCATTTGCAACTTATAATCATGAGCGTGAGCACTGTAAACTTGTGAATGAGTTAAAGCAACATTGTGGAAAAATTGGTATCGTTTGCAATTTTGCGCCCTACAGTGTAACCAGTGCAATTCACTCACACACCACTGTCATAAATATGGACATTGACAAGTAATGGTAAATGGTAAATGGTACTTATATGGCGCCTTTTCTAGTCTTTCGACCACTCAATGCGCTGTACACTACATGTCACACTCACCCCATTCACACACATTCATACACTGATGGCAGTGGCTGCCATGCAAGGTGCCAACTGCTCACCATAACGGAAACTAATCATTCACACACACTCATACACCGATAAACAGCACACAACACAGGTCCAGTGTCTTGCTCAAGGACACTTTGACATGCAGCGAGGAGCCAGGGATCGAACCACCAACCTTCCACCACCCACGTCTGGTCCTTGTTGTTATTTGTTGTCTTGTTCAATTTATTTAAGACCGTTATCAGCAACCATATTAAATATTTGGCCTCTTGCTTTCACTTTACACTGTTTGTCTTGTGACATCCCCACCTTGCTGCAAACTTCCTCAAACCATTCTAGTTTTCTCGCCTTTAATGTGTTGATCTTTCTCGACTTTAATGTGTTGATCAATACGTTTTTTACATTGTACTGTACCAAAGATAAAAGGAAAACTTCCTGCAAACTTCCTCAAACCATTCTAGTTTTCTCGCCTTTAATGTGTTGATCAATGAGTTTTTTTAAATTAAAAGGGGTACTCGACCCAAAACTGTGACTGTGACCCACCTTAATGCAAACTTCCGTGAACCGTTCTAGTTTTCTCAAGGCCATTTCAAAGTTTACTTTTAATGGTATCCTAATGGTCAACTTTGATTCTGAAAAATCCAGACTGACACAAAATCCCAAACAGTCACCAACAGCAGAACAAGCAACATTTTCAGCTCAGTGATGTTTCTCACAGAAATGCACCTTGGCAACAGAGTTATAGTTTCGGATTTCATTTTTATTTTTTGTTTCAGTTCAGTTTGGTTTCAGTTAGTTTTAAATTGTCAGTTACGGTACATGTGCTTATTTTTGTTTAGTTTAATTTTAATTGTTTAAAAATGTTAAGTTATAGTCCAGTCTTTATTGGTTTTAGTATTAGTCTTAACTGACAGCCGTGGCCGGAGACATTAGGTTTTCGGGTCAGTCAGTCTGCCCATCCTTCTTATAAATGAACTGTTGGTCTTAACTGCTGTTCCACATATCAACGAGCCTCATCTGTGCTGGAAAATACTGCTTCTGTGCCTGGCAGTGTTCCTAGCGGGTGCAGCGTTTACCGCGATCTGTGGTAGATCCCAGAATAGATGCAATTATCTTCATATTTCAGAATTAATGACTTAATTCCAGGCTTGATTGACTACGTTATATGGATCAATTGCATTGGTGGAAGTTCTCTCTGATAGACAATGATACACAGATGGTTCATCCAATCACCTGCCAAGTATATTTTGAAGGTGCCGGCCCTATTCCAGTTCCTTTCCAATGACAACTTCCCAGATGGTTCTGTGTATGGTCAAGTTGGGTAATTGTCAAGGGCACAATTTAAGAAGTTTAGAATAGGCATTACAATGCAAACACACCATTTTGTAAAGGCAAGTCACTCACAGTCATGTGACATTCCAGTCTCAATAAATATATGTACCAATGCTTTTCTCGTGCTTCTTGTGTTGACAAATTTGACCACATTGACAAAGACTAAAACTACCATTTGTTGAATATGTTTCTAGTTTTGTAAATACACAATGTTGTTTTGGTTTTCATCTTTTATTAAAGTCTATTTTTTATTTTATTTCAGTTAAAAGTATTGTATCTTTGACATTTTATCAAAGGTATTTTCTAGTTGCCCATTTCTTTAAGAAATAATTTATGTTTTTATCAACTTAAAAATACAAATACTCTTTGGACCATAGCAGTTTTTACCAATGTAATTAGAATGGTACTTTCCCACCATCTGACACATCAATGCACATAATGTATGAGCTCAACAACTCTTTACAGGCTGTGATAGGATGATGCAAAATGACAGCCCTGTGTGGGTGAAGACCTTAATATTTAGTTTCATTTCTCAATAGAAGGTTCACTTTTGGTTGTTAGGAGAGCAGCTTCACTGCTGTTGCTGTCATCCAGGGGTTTTGCATTTTGGTATGTATTGTGCTTGTGTGTTATTATAATCTAAATTATCATATTGAAAGGATTTATTTTCTATTGTTTTGTTTATATCAGACAGATCAAAACAATTTATACAGAGTATCTATTATTAAGTTAAGACTGTGAAGGTAATTACTCAGAATTTAAATGTGATTAGCATTGTAACATATAAAATAATAAAGAAAAATATAAAAAAGGTTCAGCAACAATTCAACAAAATCATTCGTATCATGACAATAACAAAAGGCAGTGGTTCCCAACCTTTTTCCTTAAGGGACCCCGATTCTATCATTGGGTAAATGGATATTACTCATATCAGTAATATTTTATGGATATTTCATATACATACTGTAAGAAATTGTAAAAATTAGTTCCTAGTTCAGTAAAATATCAGTGAAGCTCATCTCTGATGCAATATTCACGTGATATAACTTCCTGTTTTGCAATAACTTCCTGTAGTTAGTGTGTACAGTTTATCAGATGTGAAAATAACAGTACAGAACAACTGATAGACAGGAAGTTTTTGAGGAAGTCTTTACTGATATTCTAAGGAACTAGGTACTTACAATTCTCTCTCTTACTTTTACAATTTATTCCAGTCATACATACGTAACAGGCATCTTTTTCTTTTCTTTTTTTTCTTTCTTTTACAAATGCAGTGTTTTCTTTTCCCTAACGCTTGGCCATTGTTAGCTCTTTGGTTTCTTAACTCTGTTCCTTTCTAATGCAGTATGATGCTGTTTATCAGAGACAGAAGGCTCTGTGAATATAGCTAGTGTTCAGGTCTTCAGAGTTTAGATCTTAAATAATAATATTAGATAATAGATATAGGCATACTGTATATATTTTTTTTAAAGTTTTCAAGAAGGCCTTGTGACCCCTTGTAAAACTTTGACGACCCCTAGTGGGGGTACCGACCCCCCACTGACATAATGTAAATGATGCTATTATGCTATTTGTGTTGGCTTCATCATTTGTGTGTCATTAGGTAATAACAGCAAAGATGGGGACAGAAGAGAGTACCCTGAAAAAGAATGGCTACGAACTAGAAAAAGAAACAGAAAATGCTGTTGTTGCTACAAAGGGAGATGACAAATTTATCATAAAAAAGATCCTTTTAAAGCAGGTAAGTAGACAGTTCCTAAACCAATCTTATCCAAATCTAGAAGCAGAACTAAAAACCAAACTAGAACATTTCTCAAGAAATTTTGAGTGTGCCTGAATGCATGTGAATGTGTATCCCAAGAGAAAAAAAGTTACTGTTTGGGAATGTATTTTGAAAAACGGAGTACATCCCTAATCCGTAATGTCAAGGTCCATGTGTGTGTCTGTTTGTGGCACACTGAATAATCAGTAAACAGAACAACTACATAAGTTGTCAACTAAATCAATCAAATTCGCTATTTACACTAGTAGACTACTATGGTAGTCTTTATGTTGATCGTGTGGTGCAGTGCAAAGTTCATACTCATGGTGACATAAAATTGTGGTTGCCTTAAACCTGCTCAGAGCACCTAACAAGAACAAGCCAGTATCTCCCGTTCTAAGACTGTATTCAGCCTCTCTTCCACGTTGTGCCACGTTATCGCCAAAACTTGCAAAAACTGTTGATATTAATGTGCATTTGTGCTTGCGTTTGCATCCAGTTTCCTGAAAGTAGAACCCATAATTGCATTCATTTCATGTAGTTAGTAGAAAGAGTGACCTGACTTTGCAAGCCCAAATGGGAGGCATCAGGTAGAAGTGCAAACAAAAGGTTTTGCTAAAAGGATCTTGTTTGCCAACTAGGCGTACAACTCTAACTTGTTAGGTGCCCATCACTCTGACTACTAGGCCATTCTCATGGAAGTTGTGTTTTTAACAGACACCTAGAGAATTAATCTCAGAGATAGAAGTCTACAAGACAACAAACCATCCTCATATTGTGAACAGCAAGAACTCTTTTAAAGGTAAGTTTTGACAAATCTGCATCTTGCTGTTATCATAGCCATGTCTGATATAGTTGCCATTTCACTTGTGCATGGACTCACCTCTTCTGTCATGTTGGTAATGTTTAGCCCTCTAAAAAGACATTTATTCAACACACAATGACATTTCAAATACTATCCACATCGACAAACTGAGGAAAGAATACTTAAATTCTAAAAATTCTGTAGTTGCAAACCTGACTAACTTGAGGGGTGTTGTGGAGTCTAATATTGACAAGATTTATCTGTAGCATGTTCTAAAAATAGACGCATTTTAAAAAATAACACGCATCCCGAATTTAAGTTTTAACAACTCAACAGTGAGCTCAGAGAAAATACAAAACCTTCAATAGTTTGTATTTATTTGTATCTTACACTGTTAAAAAATGAAGATTACTTGTTATAAGATACTAACAGAATCTCTTTTCTTCTTTTGCCATAAAGATGAAAACGTATACTATGTAGTGATGGACTACTGTCAGGGAGGGAACCTTGCTACAAAGATCAGAGAGAGTGTGGATAAGAAGCAACCTTCTGAAGAGTCTCAGGTACAGTAGCCTTATGCAAAAGACATTTCAGATTACATCAGTGAAATATACTGCAGCAGGCCTGGAGTATTTTTTTACCTTTGACCTTTGTTAAATACAAATGTATTGGGGCATCATAGCCAAAATATAGGGCACCAAGGGCATGTAACATACACATTAATGCATCAGTAACCCAATAAGATCATATATAATAGTAAAACACTGACAGGGGCCATTTTACTGCAAAATGAGAACATTTTGGTATAATACTTAGATACTTTTGCCTTAGTAAGGTTTAGAATGCATACCTTTTACTTGTAGTCAAGTAATTCTCAGTGGGGTTGGTATTACTACTTTTGCTTAAATAATGGCCATGAATACTTCCTCCACGTCTGGTTAGCACAACCACAACCCAACTGCTGCTGTGTGTTAACAGCCGAGCCTTTCCTTTTAAGGCCTGCTCCACACTGCCTGCCTCTGCAGTGCATGTGCATGGCAGAACATCTTAGTTTTTATTTCAGAGGCCATGTTAACAGATTTTTATACACAGCACCTACTGTATCTGTTTCAGATTAAAAGCTCTCAAACATTTCTGTAGACAGAATCAATTCATATGTTAACAAGGCTTTTAGTGTTTTGTATTTATCAAAGGGAAACTCAATGTAGAAAGATAGGGTGGGCAGCGTCAGCTTTGCAGCAGAAACACTCTCTGTGTGGTCACCTCAGGGGTGCGAGACACAGCAGTTCAGCAAGTCAGCCGTCACACCAACTATAGGAAAACATCTCTGAAGCGCATTTGTGATAGGGATTGACCGATATGTTATTTTCAGGGCAGACTCCGATACCGATTGTTAGTAATCAAGGAGCTGACTTACCGATATTTGGAGCTATAGGCTATACAATAGAAATACAAGATAGATTTCACAACTTTAACAACTGTACACTGTTTATGCAGTCCACATATGGATTAAATAGTGATGGAAGAAGGACTCCAATACTACAGTGTAAAAATACTACACGTAAAGGTCCTACATTCAAAACCTAAAAACCTATCTACAAAACTATCAGCATCAAAATATGTATTATATTACTTGATTATAATGATTGATGTATTAATGTGTTCACTTTACATACTGCTGGGTACAACATACATGGGGTACATAGGTAATACATACATTTATTAATTTATTTTTATTTTTCTAAACTGGATCTGTAACTTATAGCTAGTAACTGAAGTTATTAAATAAATATGGGAAGTGAAGTCTAGGACACTAGATTTGGACACTGAAGGGGCATCTAGAGTACTGGCCATTTGGCCGTGGTGTAATTCCTGCCCTGCTGCAGTAGTGTACATATTTTGCAATTAATTGCCATTCATTTATTCATTGGCCGCTATGTAGTACCATAATGTGTTTTGTAGGTACTGAGCTGGATTGTTGAGATCTGCATGGCTTTGAAAACCAGTCATGATAAAGGCTTGCTTCACAAACATCTGACGCCAGAGGTACTACACATATTACTACGTGTATACGATTAAAAGATTGTGTGCTTCCACAGAATTTAACCATTAGCTATTTTAAACCATCACAATGTAAAAAATATGTATTGATAATGTGTTATTATCATTGAAATTAACCTTTCTTTCTATATATTCTTTTCATTTGGAAAAAAGGGCTTTTGGGCTGTCAAATTTAAACTTCTATTTTTAAGTGTTCTCAGTAATATTAGGGATGCACAATGATATCAGAACGCCATCGATACCGTTCAATAAAGGCTTTAAAATGAAACATCGGCATCTGCAATTTCTCCCGATATGACAGACCAATAGGATGAGGCTTGAATCATACTGTTAACTAGGCTACATGCTTGACCCAGCACAAGGGTGCACAAGCCAAAGCTGGCGTCATCGCATCTGTGAGCATGTATGTCTGCTGTGTGAAGGTCTTTCTAAAGTTTCCAAAATAGATAGCAAAGTGTTCATCATTCCTTTAACATTAAAAATATAATGGCATTCCAATCATTACTACAAATTTGGGAAGAACAAAGGGAGACACCTGTCAGCAGCCTATTCTCCAGTCTGTAAACAAAGCCAAAAAACTTTACCGCGATCCCCCCAGGACCAAAGGCATCAGTCTCATTGAGTGTATTGTTCTGGACAACCAGCTGTTACCGTTCATTGAAGATGTAGGGATTTGTGGTCTATGTTAAGCCACATGCTACATGATGCCCAGGCGCGGGTATTTTTCAGGAGTTGCAAGCTGACATCCTACGTTTGAATTAATTTATTAAATAATATATTATTAAGTTTAAGCAAAGGTCTGTGAAGCATATGTAGCCCTAATAATTAAGGATAATTTGTTCAGCAATGTGAAAAAGAGTACACTATGTCTATAAATGTTCTTTCTTGGCTTTAATTGCTGTTCAGTTGTAGAATCCACTTACTTTCACATCCTAGTGGACGGAGATTACATTTATTCACTTATTTTGCAACTTGTGAAATAGGTCAAACTTGCCGTGGTTGTTGTCAGGGTTGATCATCCAACCATGTTAAAGAAGCCAGAATTTTACAGTTTGAATGTAATTGTGTATATTTCAGGCCAGTGGGCAATCACAATAAGAGTTGGTATTAAAATTGGTTAATTCCACTACAGTAGAGACTTGATGTTCTCTGGAATTTGTTTGAATGTGCATATATCATGCCAAAATGAGTCGGAAAATGTTGGCATATCTGATATCGGTAAAAGTCCAATAATGTGCATCCCTAAGTAATATACTTGTGTAAATTCTTAAAGAGTGACTTAACTAGGCTATTGAAAGTTACAGTATCACCATTCCTCTTTTCATAGAACGTGTACTTCACCGAATTTGGAACAGTATGCTTGGGCGAGTTTGGAAAAATCCATGAAAAGTACTGTACACTGTAATTTTGCTATATATTTTTGTCTGTATATACACACAAACCCAAATACATCAATGCAACATGTTTTGTTTTTTCACACAGTTCAAAAAACACCAAGTCAAATCGGTTGAAAACAATAAATTATCTGGCACCAGAAGTCTTCACACAGGGGACCTATGATGCTAAAAGGTAAAAAGGTTTTTACCAAAATGAGAATGACCTTGATTCCCAACACAACAACGACTCTACTTGGTTTAAAACTATTATTATTATTATTATTATTAATATTATTAATATTATTTATTTATTTATTTATTTATTCTTTATTTATAGTGACATTTGGTCAGTGGGATGCATACTGTATGAGCTCTGTACTCAAACATCAGCGGTAAGTTACCTACGTTTGCAAGTCATCAAGGCATTACGTAATCAATCAATTTAATAAAAGCCTGCTTTAACTTAGTACTGAACAAGATATTGTATTTTCTCGCAATGTGAACGAATGCAATGCAAAAGATTATTTAGGAATGGGTACACAAATATATATGTATGAACATTAAAAAATACAAGAAATATTTATTTTAACAAATTAAACTCTGTTACTGTATATTTCAGATCTAAATAACAAAAAACAATCCTAGGAGAAGACTAAAAAGTAAATAGAAACCAATTATAATTAGTGTTAGAGTTTTCTAACAATAACTCTCCTTCAGTTCACAGCAGAGACTCCAGTCAAGCTCATGCCCAAGGTAATAGGTGGCCCTTACCCATCTATCCCAGATACTTTCTCACCAGAGCTTCGTGAACTACTGAAAGATATATTGGAAAAAGACCCTCAATCAAGACCAACAGCCAGTGAGATCCTGGAGCATCCTGTGGTTTTAAGCTGTTCATAGAAAAGGTACCGCATCTGTAAAGTACTGACAGTCTGGCCCCCTTACACCCATTTGTTTTCAAGTTTGTCTCATAGAAAAGGTACCACATCTGTAAAGTACTGTACAGTACTGGAACCCACTCTCTTAGAACAAACTATATCCAACATTTCATTTTTATCTTGCTAACTTTCCATTTAGAGCTGCACCATTCTTAAAGGGACATTGTGTAGTGTTTTAAGTATTTTATTAACTAAAATCAATGTCTTCATTCATAAATGTGTCCTCATTGGTGTAAAATTACCTCTGCCAATGATCTGACTTATCCTCGTAAGCGAAGAATCTCTTATCTGTATACATTGGACGGGCAAGTCCATGGAGGCTTCCATGTCGTTCCGCCATTTTGAAAAACTATAATCGCTGACAGGGACGTAAAGCACTAGCTTACCTGTCTAGCTAATCCACAACGCGTTTTCGTTCAGAGCCAGCGTCACGTGACTGAAACCAGCTATAACGGAGAAGGAGATCAGTGAGAGGCGCATATATATATTTGGAAAGCAGCACTACTGCTTCTTTCAGTCTCACAAGTTTTTGCATACATTGACCACTGCATGTCAGAGAAGATACTAATCAAATGTAGTTTATGGCCAATTTTGGCAGCAGTTGTGTGAACCACAGCCAACACTGATTTCACAGGGTGCTACAGTTTATTCATTTATTTAAGGATCCCCAATAATTGATGCCATGGCAATCACCTAATCTTTTTGGGGTCCATTACCAACATAAAATCCATAACACATGATGAACATGAATTGCATTAATAAAATTACATGAAAGCTTACATTCATATAAACTCCAATGCCAGTCTACACTGTACATATATGTAACTGTATATAGAATACTAATTAAAAATATAGTACTGAAAACTAGCAGAGTTAAACCTCCAACTATTCAGTCTGTCATTAAAATCTTAGAGTACACTTGTACATAATTTCAGCAAGGTGAGAATAAACTCTCGCAAAAACACATTTTACAGGGGTTTTTAAGTTGCTCTTTATTTAGAAGCTCTGGGTATCTTGCTTTCTGCTGACAAACTATGCTTCTTTAATAGTGCAAAACAACTGTGAAGGAACTCCAGGAAAAGTTGAAACAGCTAAGGGATCTGGCTGACGGTTTGGAAAGTGTCCACACAAACACCACCATCGGGAGTCTGACAGGAGGAGTGATTGGAGCAGCAGGAGGGATTACAGCTATAGTGGGACTTATACTGTCCCCCTTCACTTTGGGAGCTTCTCTTATTGTCACTGGGGTTGGAATAGGAGTAAGTACACTTGGTGGAGTCACTGCTGGTGCCTCAAATATCAGAAATTTAGTCAAAAGCTCCTCTGATCGCAAAGCTGTCAGAACTATCATTAAAGAGTTTGAAGAGAAAATGAAAGCAGTCATCACCTGGATCAAACAGATTAATGAAAGTTTACAGGCAATCAGGAGCAGATTTGAGTCAGCTGATCTCAGCACTGAGCATACCGAGTTCAGTCCAGAAAACCTCGTCAGGCTTGGCTCCAGGGCGGGGAGGGGACTAGGTGGCATTGCAGAACTGGTTCGTCTAGTTCAAGTGGTGAACGTTGGCAAGATTGTAGCACAGACATCCAGGGCAATACGTGTGGCAGAGGTAGCAACAGGTGTGTTTTCTGGGTTATTTTTGGCAGTGGATCTCTTCTTCATTGCCATGGATGCAAAAGAGATTCACCACATTAGACAGGCAAAGGCAGCAGAGAGAAGAGGTGAAGCTAGTTCTGAGTCAGTGTCCGAGACTGAAACCCCCTCTGATCAGGCTTCACTAGTGCCCAGCTCACCGATGCAAGAGTCTGAAGAATCAGAGACACAGGACCAGTCTTCCCAAAATACCACTCCAATCAGATCTGAGCTCATGAAATTTGTCCGATCAATCAGGGAGGCAGCAGACAACTTGCAGAAAGTCTTGGATGACTTCAAAAGCGTCATCTCATCTATCCCTTCACTTCAGAATGAGAGAGAGCATGGATGGAGAGATATGGAATTAATGTAACCAAAAGGTTGGTTGATTGGTGGGTCGACATGCTCTTTGTCTTGCTCTTGTAACTTTCTTCAGTCACTGTCTAATAATGAATACTGCATCATAATGATTTTGAGCTTTACACTTCTTGTTATTTTTTATTTGACTGTCAATAATAATTCAACTCGTGTTAGGCTACTCATTAAAGTAATGTTGAATGTGTATTGTAAGGTAAAACTATGCATTTCTTTTTCATGAAGTTTTACAGTGCTAGCAACCTGAAAAAGGGGACATTTATAGATGGTATGTTTATTATATATTTTGCACCACAAACACAGAATATTGGGCACTGTTAGTACACATAGCATACCACTTTGCTCCAATGCATACTGCAAATCAACTGCCAATGTACAGTGCAATCCTCTAATGTATGATGTGGTTATTTTAAAAAAGTCACAAATTGACTAGTTTTATTCAGGTAGGAGCTCCACAGTTGCTAGCAATCTCAACATTTAGTTTACTTTTTGTCTCTTCTTCAAATATTTTGTACATTGATTAATTTCTTTATTTTTTTAAATACAGTCAAAGCCCTAATGTGTAGAATTTGAAATAGTTTTACTTTGATGGCACTGTGGCACATCCCAGTGCACATGGATTCAGATCTGACCCTGGAACAAATGGGCTTAAAGCCACATATAAACTTCTTTCTACAAACAATAACTTGCTTTTGAAACAAATCAAACAATCAAACAAACTTGTTTTTGAAAAAGGATTGTATCACATTGATATTCTACAAAAAGGGGCTTTGAAGCCCCAAAAGGGGCTTTGACTGCATTCAAATGTGCACGCTTATGGGTCATTTGCCAAGCAAAATCTTTGTACTAGATAATTTTCTGTAAACATGAAGCAATAAACTACAAGCTTTGCATTACCATATTAATGCATTTATAATACATACATTACTGTAAACATCTGTACTGATGAAAATTAAATGCAAGCTGAAACCTGCTGAATGCCTTTTGATGACCCTAATTTCACCTTTTGATAATTGCTTTGCTGTTTAGTAAGTGGCTGACTAGCTCTAACCCATACATAACTCGGGTTAACGTGTTACTTTTAAGCGTACTGACCGAAATACATTTCATACAATTCATGTTAAATACGGTACACTTCATTTAATGCATACCATTTCAGTACATGAGAGCACATCTGGGTCAGGGGATAGAGTACAGAGAGAAAGACAGAGACTAACTTCAGGTCACCCCTGCAACAAGTGACAGTGAGTCAGGACACGCAGGCTTTGTAATGCAAAATCCAGTCCCCTGCAGCAGCCACAGCTAACGATGAGACTAAGTCAAGCATCGTCATCTTCAGGTACTTAATTAGTTAGTTGGATACATTCTTGCTGGAGGTAAAATGAACTGTCAACTCACACACTGACTGGGAGACTCACGCAACTGAAAATGTTCACAAGGTCTAATGTCGCTTGTCCCCTGTCTCACACAGTTCTCACACAGTTCTCACACAGTGAAAAACACATTTATAACTGATAACAGCACAAATAGAGGACACTTTGAGTGCATGAACAGACCAGAGTCACTGTCTCTCCCCATTGGTACCGGTATCGATTCAAATGTGAATGGTACCCAACCCTACACATAACTTTAAAATATGCATTCTTGAGATCTTGGTGTCTGGATGCCACAGTGACTCAGTGGTTAATACTGTCAGCTCACAGCAGAAAGGTCTAGGGTTTAAATTTACCAGCATTCAGTGTTAGGCCTATGATAGAGCCACACTGAGTTTATTTCCATCTATTTCTGCCATACCATGTTTTAGCTTAAGTAATTTGTTCATGGAGAAGCTTTCCTTAAAATTAAAAGTGCAGATCATACAAACATACTCTAGTTGCCCTGACACCTTGATTTAGCTGTAGGGACTCAATCAAGTGAACAGAAAGAACTTTGTACAATCTAGAAGCAGTTGTTGAGGACAAATGTTAATGTGGTAAGACTCACCCATCAATCTGTTCTCTTTCGTACTGACATATTTTCTGGACTGGACTTTAAACTGTTGAATGTAAATGTTTGGTTTAAGAATGTATAATCAAACAGGATCAGACGAGGCTATCATATGTAACAGGGGTTTAAGATCAAGAAGATTGATGTGCCTCTTCCAATAAGAGCGGCTAAAACAACACTACCCTGTTTGCCATTGACCTGGTCCTTGCAGCCGGTAGACGGATAGTACAAAATGCAGTCACTTTTGACACAATAATTGAAACTGGTTTGCCACTGCCACACACACTGTGCACATCTTATCCCACATCAGTCCGCATCAAGTCACAAAAATACCAAGTGAACCCTAAGAAAAATCAGTGTGTCACAGGAAAATATCAGACACTTCACCTAACAACACAACCGCACGACACCACAAACACATGGAAAGGTGTAAACAAACACACCCACTTGTGTACACACATCAGTGCTGCAACAGTTAAAACACTTACAATTAATCAAGGAAATGAAGACAAACATCTTCCGCACTAGAATGTTAAAAGGTGTTTCTTTCTAAACTATTATAGAATAAATGAGAATAAACAGCCAGTAGTAGGTGAGCTGTGGTTTTAATTTGATACTTAATTTAAATGAATTCACTCCTAGTGCACACACTTCATTCAAACCAGAAAAGGCCATTAAGCTATGGAATGTGAACCTCATTTCTCAGTACTTGTGCATAGGAAAATATGGGACCAACCGAAATGATTAAATAACCAAGTAAAGCTTTCATACCAAACGCATTGCTTAATTACTCCTAAGAGGATTCACACTATCTTTTTTCCTTGTATTAGGAGTACCTCAAGTGTATTTTGCATGTATTAAGCAATACTTGTACCAGAAGTGCACTCTGAGGTTTTCTCGACTTTACAGATCTGCAAACTCACTGCCATCTGTGTCTGTCCATTCCACCATCACAGCACCCTGGGGCTGTCAATCACCCGGTAAAGGACAGTGGTCAGACATATCACTTGGTGTGTGTGTGTGTGTGTGTGTGTGTGTCTGTCCCTCTGCAGTGGGCATTCACACAATCATGTGGTGATTGGCACACACACACACACACACACACACACACACACACACACACACACACACACACACACAACCCACGCCATTGACTTTTTCCATTCTTATCAGCTGAGCCATTCTGAATGCTGTGTCTTTTCACAGCCTCTGATGAAGAACCATCACATTTATTACACACAGGCACATACACACAAATACACCAACACACTCCAATGTTTATTTGGCAACCTCGCATCTCATTTATCAACAACAGAAGACCTTACTTCATTTAAACCCCCCTGATAGCGTAGCCAAGGCAACCACCACAGAGAACAGAAGGAGCTGTGAAATTGCTGTGAAAATTAACTTTATCATTTCAGCCCAGCGACTGAACAGAGAAATCATGTGATTCATACAGATCACATGAACTCTCAGATGAGTGTAGAGTTGAAGAACAGGAGATTGTGCTTGACTGATGTGTATTGCTCTGCATGGAATATGAATTGTTATGGGTGCTAATCCCAATGACTTTGAAGCTTTTGGAGAGCTTAAACATGGTTTTATTGATCTGTGTTTTAATATCTCAATGCAAACTTGGTTTAGTCTCCTTTGAACTGACACTGACAAAAGTACCGTAGTCGTTTTCATTTAATGAGGGTATTTGTGATAAAGTTTTAAAACAGGAATGCCTCTGTAGGATGATGGGTGGTGGCTGTCAGAGTCACCATAGCCAGAGGTTGACACTCTATAGGCACTGAAAAATGAATTGAATTTACAAAAAATATTCTTTAGCTTTAAATTAAGAAGATGGTTGCTGTCGAATGCATATGTGCAGCTGTCAGTCTAATCACATTTGTACACCTTTTGACAGTTGAGGAAAAGAGCCACTTTCTGCCTGCATGCACTCAGGCGGTTACCGGTCTAGAGCTCTCCATCTGCTTATAAAGAAACATCAACTGAAAACATACTTCGTTCACTGTCTGACAACATCTGTCCAATGAGAGTCTACAGTCAAGATGAAGCGGACAATAAAATAAATAAATACTGATATTTTGGTGTGCTGCCTTTCTATTCTGAATACAATTGAAATTCATGGCATCAGTAATCTTTATGGCAGAAAAAAAAGCCTAGGCTTTTAGCTGCAATTCATCTTAGCTTCACTGTCTAAAAACTGTTTCCATCACATGACCCACTTCAGAAGATGCCTATAGTAGTCAGGTCAAGGTATTTAGTTTCAATCCCATGCCCTTTATAGAACTGGAAATCTTAACAGATAAAATAATAAAAACGTTTATAATCTATTGAGTACTTAGCAGCTTTCTGTTATAAATGTTGATTTAAATATCCTTGCATATCTCTCAGTCTGTTCATATGTACAGTTAAAAATGTTTTAATGTTTCATGTTACCAGCTTTAGGTAGTTTTTTCTCCTTTACAAACACACTCATTTCTCAGCCTGTGAGATCAATAGGTTCAACAAGAGAACAGATCAAGATACCTCTGTTTCTTTTTCCATCTTTACTCCAACTGTACTAAAAGCTACATTCTCTTTATTTTGCTGCCATCTCCTTTCTTTCTTCTACCAAGCTTGTTTTTTCCTTCTCATATGTCACCTGAATTTGAGTTTGTGCTTTTAGCCTTGTGTAAAATGACACAATGCTCAGAGTCAATAAGCTGCTTTGAACTCTGTCGCCTTGGACGGCTGCCAGTGGTGCCACAGAAAGAATAGTCCTTATTAAGTTTTTCATGCTTTAAAAAAAATTGACATGTCTTTTGTTATTGTTCTTTTGATCCTCACCCTCTTTTTCTGATTTTCTGACATTCTTTTTTCTGTTCTATTCATTGTGTTTGATAGACAGAAGAACTGAAGAACAATTGGCTTCATCTAAAAATTGAAACAAGTTTCATGTTTGCTTTGTGTATGAGAGTAGACAGTCCTCCTGCAGTGTGAGCTAACAATGTCTTCATTTTTCAACATTTCGTTAATTTAGGAGGGGAGATACAAAGAACACATTGAGTTTAAACCTTTGCATGGATGTACATAGGTTGGTGGTCTACATGATGACTGAGAGTATTTGTTCAAAGTTTGTTCTTTTGAAGTTCTGAGACAGTTGTTTTCAATGATGATTAGATTTTTAGATGTTATTTATAATGTTGAGTTCTCTCAAGGCCTTTAACGTCAAACTTGAAAGGTACTAAGCCAAATCTTGCTAGTATTTTATTATCTTTAATATCTTATTATGGATTTTGTTTGTACTATCATGAGGCTATTTGAGGTACAGCTTCTTTGCAAAACAACATTGGTGCTCAGAGGTTTTCCAGGTAAGATAGTTGTTTCAGCTTTTTGTTTTCTTGCTTATTTATCCTGTGTGATTACTTAATATCTTGTAAATGCATCAATTCAGAACAGTAATTTTAACATTTTCACTTGTATCCTTCTGATTGTTACAGTTAATGACTGCTAGTTGATTTTGAATTAAGTTTAAGTAAAGTTCTGTTTGCTGAGTCTTTCAAACTAATTCACTTGGAAACTTACTTTCCGACCTGTAGTACTCACAAAGGCTTTATAAATAAAGAGTTATAGCGATTCACATAATGATTCTCAAATGGCAAACTTAAACTAATTAAATCTTCAAACAAACATTCTTCACAGACCTGTGAAATGTGTGAGACTGTATTAAATAAAAATGTTTTTAAAAGTTTTCTAACCAAAGTGCTATGAAAACCAAATGTTTATTAAAAAAATTAAAAAAATGCACATGTATAAAACAGTAAATTGGTTTTAATTTTTTATTATTGGGGTTTCTGGGCCAGACTGCATACATAAAAACATCCCAGCACTGTGCAGCATTGCATGAAACATGTAATCACCACGTTTAAAATGTGATTGCATGCTACGCTAATGGCGCTGAAGCTATAAATTGTGCTATAGACTTTGTAGACTTTGT